TCGGGACAAGCCAAGCACCCGCCCGCCAAGTCTGCGGGCTTCCCGCGGCCGGCCTGTCCTGGGTCACCCCGGTCATTGCAGCCTGTCTGGAAGGTCACAGCCTTGTGTGTACCCATTGTCCGCGGGCGGGAGCCCGTGCCCTGCCCTCCAGCCCTCAACTCGGAGGGTGGGGCGTCCCGACAACCATGGCCTGTGCGTTTGGGGCAGGCCCGGCGTCTCAGGGCCCCAAGCCCCAGCCTGTGGGAAGTCCAACCGTGACTCTGCCTCTGCGCCCTTCTGTGGACTTGGGCATGTCACTTCATCCCCACGGCCCAGGACCCCCGCGTTTCAGCCCGAGTCCTGGCATCCTCACAGAGCCCCTGAAATGGGGCTGGACTGGAAACACTGGTTCCAAATTTACTGCCCCCCAGACAGGCCGCAGGCAGCCCCCACACAGGCTCTTGGCCTACTGCCCCCTTCTCCCACCCCGGGATGCACCCCACCCTCACGGCTGCAGGCGCCAGGCCCTGTGCCCTGCCAGCCAGGATGGTAGCTGCTGCCTGGTTCGGCCTCTCCTTCGCTGCAGCAGGTCAGGCCGGGGGCACAACTGAGGGCACCCCTCCCTGCCCCATTGCAGGGGGCAGGATAGATGAGGCTGTCTCTGGGTGGAGGTGCCAGGCATGGGGAAAGCATGCTGCTGTGCTGGGGGGATCTGGGCTTGCTGCCTCGGTGAGGGCACAGAGAGCGAGGCACTTATTCAGGTGGGGAAACGGGCATTAGGCGACTTACCCAAGGCCACTGAGGACCTCAGGAGCCGAGGAAGGAGCAGGACCTGCTCGCCTGACCCCAGCCCAGCCCCTTGGCCACCCCGTGCTGTGCAGCCGTGTCTCAGCCCCTGCCTGGGGTCTCCGGGCAGCCACTGCACTGCACCTCACTTGCTGGGACGTCTCTCTCTCCCTTCCCAAGGACACGGCCCTGCCCCCTTCCCTGCTTCTTTCTGCAGCCACTGGTCCCTCACACACCTCAGTGCCCCCCTGAACTACCCCGTCCTCGCAGGACACGGGCACTTCACTCCAATGAGCCCCAGAAACAGGGCCGTGGGGATGAAGTGATGTGCCCAAGTCCACAGAAGGGAGCAGAGGCAGAGTCAAGGCTGGACTTCCCTGAGGCCTGTGCTGGTGAGAGCCGGATCGGGCAGGGGGTTGGGGTCCTGAGACCCAGCACCACAGCTCTGCCCCCCACAAGCCCCTTCCCCTCTTCACTGGGACCCCGGGCAGTGGACACCAGCTCCGCTCCCGTCCTGGCTTGTCGGCGTCTGGGTCCAGCCCGCGTACCAGGCCCGACTGATCCAGCCTGGGCATCGGAGGGGCTTCTCAGGGCACGCGTGTCCCCTCCACATCAGGGGAAGTGGTGGGGGGCTGGACCGGAGCAGTGCATGCTGGGACTGGTAATCCTGGGGGGCTGCGCCGTGGCATCAGAACAGGTGCATTGGGGTGGGATGGAGCCCATGTCCAGCAAACGGGAGGCACGTGGGACCTTGCCCAGCCCGGCTGCTCACGACGTGGGCACTGGGAGCACAATGGACCTCGGCCTGTGGTTAAGGAGATGCTCACATGTGTCTCGTGGGTGATCCCAAGCATGGGCATGGCCCGTTCAACCACACACACGTGTGCCCCTCTCTGCCAGCGCTCCCAGGCCAGCAAACACAGCAAAGGGCCACAAGGGACCAGGCTCGAGGGCAACGAGCCAGAGAACCGAAGTGGGGCACGACACTAGTGAGGAGGCCCAAGCGAGTGAAGGAGACCGGGAACTGAGAAGCGTCCGTCCCCTCTCCCCGCCGCGACGCTCCCACGGCTGCTGCGGGGCAGCAGGACAGCTCCACCCCAGAGGCAGCTGCAGTTCTCTGGTGCATGTGTCCTCATCGCGCAGCACCTGGGATCAGTGCACGCAGCACCTTGGCTGGCGGGGGCCTCGCCAGTGCTGCTCGCTCTCGCTCCCTGGGGAGTAGCCGGGTGGTGCTGGCTTGCACCCAGCCCTGCTGGCACTTGGGAAGGGCGCGCTTGATCCGCTCTGCTTGGCCGTGCTTGCTGGCTGGGGAGGCTGGAGCCTGCACGCAAGGACCGAGGGAGTCTAACGGGGGGAGCAGAGACCTGGGGGCGTGCACACGGTGGCCCCAGGGTGGACAGAGGAAAGCTGGGGTAAGGGGGAGGCAGCAGGCGCTGGAGGGCTTGGGAGGGAGATGCCCATGGCAGGGGAAGGGGCACCTGGGAGTCTCCCCTGAACCCCAGCCACCTCCCCGGGGCTGTGGCAGCAGGGCAGCAGGCTCGGCGCACTGAGCAGAGGTCGTGCCCAAGGCAGAGCTGGGGGTTAGTAATCCTGGGGCTGGGCAGTAGCAAACAGGGGAGCACACTGCCAGCTGTGCAGCACCGTGCGCTTGGTGATTTGGGAGCCCTCCAACCCGCACCAGCCTCACTAGGACCCGGCCTCTGCTTATGCCCTGGGCCCAGCCTCGCTGCCCATTTCCCATCTGGCGACTGCGGTGCAGCTGGCAGGACCCCGGGGCTCTGCGCTGCTGCACTGCAGAGGATGCTTGCCGGCCTGATTTACCTTGCAAATGGGTACGCACAGGCCGGGCACGGCAGGGGTTGAGCTTCTAGGGCAAAGCGTGTCTGGCGCCGCATGGACTGTCTAGTCCCGGGGTCTGCACCCAGGCCCTGCTGCAGCGCTGTCCCCCACCCCGTGCCATCGGTGCAGGGTAGCAGGGCTCGAGCAAGTCTCATCCTTGCTAGGAAATTCTGTTGATAGCCTTCCTCGAAGAGGTTGAGACCCAGTGTTTTTAGGCTCTCGGTGGGACTTCAGCGCCTGAGTCTCTGATAACCCGGGCTGCATTCTCCTGTCAAGCAAGATGCACAGGGAGGGAGGATGGCTCAGTGGTTAGGCCCATAGCCTGGCCCTCAGGCCTCAGCTTCTCTAAAATGGGGATATCAGCACCTGGGGACGGCAAACGCAGCAATGGCTGGGCTGGGAGGTGCCCAGAGTCTGTGGGGAAGTACCGCCAGCGTGCGCGTCCCCGTCACCTGGCAGCGGTGGGGCACCGCGACCCCGCCAGCCCGGGGGACCGACCTGCAGCCAGTCTGCAGCACGGTGCTGATACCAGCGCGCAGGCCCCGGATGCATGCATGCAGCCAGCGAGCCGGGTCCGAGGCCCAGTACTCCCCCGTCGTTCCCCTCCTTCCTACCCCTGCTAGCCTCTCCCCAGCACTGCTAGGAAGCAAAATGAGTCTCACTCCCCCGAAGCCAGGAGGTGCCAGTGGCAGGAGCTGGGAGGCGTTAGCGGGCACCAGGCTGATTCTCCGAGGGCCTCGTTTCAGCACGGGGATGCGTGTGCAGACACCTGCCATCCCCACCCGCACCTCATGCCCCACCCTGACTACTTCCAAACCAAGAGCGCAACAGCGCCGTGTGCACGCACGTGCTTCCCAGTGCCACCCCCGCATTGGGGCGGCCTTCTCGGCGCTCTCCTAGCAGACTCAAGCTGCCTTGGGAAGCCCTGACCGCTGCCCGGGTGGAAAGCATGGACCCCGCTAGCCATCAATTAGCCTCCCTCCCCACGGCAGCTGGGCTGCTGATCTGGTCGACTCCTTGCTCCTGTTCTGGTGAATTAAGCACGAAGCGGAGGTTTTAAGCTTGACCCAGGGGCACGCGAGGCATCGCCCCTTGTCACAAGGCAGTAGCAACCCCCTGCCACCAACGAAGACCTCCCAGATGCCAGATGCCTGCACTGGGCCGCTGCCTCCACCCGGCTCCGTCATTTCCAGGGATCGCCGCCAGGAGCCAGCCCTCGGATCAGCTGCAACCGCAAGGCCAGGCTTTGTCTCTTCCCATTGCAACAAGGGGAGAAGGGAGCTCATTTTACACCTGCTCCCCTTGCAACTCGAGAAGGGGTTTGCAGGGGCAGCGAGGAGGTGGTTCTCCTGAACACCTGGAGAAGCCGCCTGGGCTATTCTTGGCCACAAAGCCCCTGGGGGAAGGAAAAAATTAGATGGAGCAGGAGGCTAAGGGCAAGGCTCCTTCAGCCTGCAATGCCATTCAGGAACCCGCTCCCGGGGCCCGTAGGGTACAAGCGCTCGGTGGTTTCTGCACATTACAGATGGCCAGAGCACGGTCTCTGCTGCCTCTCGTGCTTCAGCTTGTCCCCATCCGGCCTCGGCCTCTCCCTCTCCCAGACACACGATAAGCTCCAGCCAAACTTACTCGGGACCTCAAGTTTTGCCCAGAAGCACCCAGGCACCCTCGCAAAGAGGAGCCTGCAACCCTGTTG